AGAAGGACATGGAGGAAATGGAAAAGGAGAAAACAAGTGGTGGAGATGGCTTGAAACAGGTTAGCGTACCTGTACTGGATGAGAGGCTGAAGCAAGACACAGCTGCACAGTATCTCCTCTTGACAAGGGAAGCTGCAACTTTGCTTGCAGAAATCTCAGAGGCATCTCCAACTGATCTATTCAGGCAGAAACTGCAAGACTGGCAGGAGAGACTGGCAGCTGTGGGTCAGTCACATCCAGCAGACAATAGTTCAGAGGGGATTGGAGACCAAACTCTCAACTTAACCCATTCAGAACTGAGAGAAGAACTCTACAAGTGTCAGGTGAAAAGAAAACGGTATTCAGTTAGCCACATTAAAAGTTATGTGTTCATTGAAAAAATATTTTCAAAAGGTGCCTTGTCATGAACTGTTATAAAAAAAGAATACAAAAAAACAACAAGCATTAATCCTTCTAGTGTTTACTTAGTCCTTCCAGAGACTAAACCGGCCAATCAGCAGATATAAACATTGTTGTAAACAGCCACCATCCGCCTGCAGCTTATATTACTGCCTAGCAAAGTGGAATCTTGAATTACAGCAAGCATTCTATGCGTTACATACCATACCAATGTTTTTGTCACTCTTACCAGTAGCCTAATTATAGCATTGCTATCGATATCATCCGCATTAGTAAAGCTGTCTACCCATGAATTCATCAGCTTGACAGGGAAATCTGAATGCTGCTGCAGTTTTAGCTCCCGCTTCAGTAAAAAACAGCCTTCATATTATTTTCTGAATACTACTCGTGCCTTGTCCTTCATAGCACCAAGTATTATTTTGTTTGTGCTCTTTTGCTCACTTGATCTTAAACTTTTCCATTTTCTTGTCTCACCTCCACTCAGCATTGCTGACTAGCTCTGCTTCACTGCATCTCCCATTGATATATAATATGTGGTTCTACCTTGTTTACACATTATGCACGATATTGTACCCTCAGCCATGTGGTTGGGTTATGGTAAATACATGCAAAGTGCTTTGTTTAGTATCAAATAGAGCAAATCAAAGCAAATCACATACTGTATTATAATGAGATAAGACGACTAAATTATGTAATCATAAGACCTTTGTATGCAACCAGAGGGAGCTGCTGAGATTTGTAGGGTTATAATAAATAGTAAAAAAAGGAAAAAATTGAATTGATCAAAAAGACAGCCACTGGATAAGAAAAAAAAAAAGAAATCAGATAATTTTAAAAGCTTATAGTTTTTGTCTGTTTCTGTTTTTTCTTTCCATCATCTATAGAAAACCCTGAAAGAGAAAGAATATATTTTGGAGCAAAAAGAGGAAGAACTGAGACAGGTTCAAAAAGAAGTTGAGAAATTACTGGAAGAAAAGCAACTCCAACTTTTAGCCTTAGAGAAAGAGAAGAAAGCGTCTCAGATTCAGGTAAGAAGAAGGATCAGAAAGTTAAATGGCCATTTTGAAGTTGTTGCTTCATTTACATATGTATGAATATAATATGTTTTTTTTTGTTTTCAGAGAGAGCAACTGCTGAATAAGCAGACTGAGATTGATCGCCTTCACAGCGACCTCATGGATGTTCATGGGACGAGCCCCGGAACAGCTGGAGAAGCAAGGCCCTCTGGGTGCTCATGTGCAAGACCCCACTGTGTCCCTATAACTGGACACAGCTCTCTGCACAAGCAGTCCAGGAAGGTATTGCATTTCCCTCTAAACTAATATGGGCTTTCTTTTTTTATCTGTTGTTTTTATTCTATCTATATCTGCAGGTATTTTTGTCTGGTTGTCTGTGTTTGTAGATTCACTCAAGTCCACCAGCCTGCTCACTGGAGAGGGTGATGGCAGCTTTTAAGATGCGGGGCCGTCTACTGCTGGCTGAGATGGAGGAGAAAGATGAAATCTATTGCCCATTCAGGACTCAGTGGAGAGAAAGCCAAGAAATAACTCAAAATAATTATGAGGAGGAGAAAACCATGGGAATGGAGAGATCTGTGAGCAAAGAGGAATTTAGGTCAGAACATTTACTGAAAATACTTTTTTTATAGTTTATTATGAAAGTATAAAAAATGATTATAGTGACAGCAATTACACTTTGGGCTGAAGGGTGAAAAAGTGGGCTTCTTTATAGGATAAGTGGTGCTAAAGCAGATATGTCAAGGAGCAGTTATTGCAGTATTAATGTGTGCAAAAATTGCGATCCCATGGAGTAACTAGATGCAGTGTTTTATGACAGGAGCAGTCTATTAATACTCTACGACCACTTACTGATAGAAGTCTCAAGGAAAGAGGAGGGGACAGTGTGTTAATGGAAAAGAGAGAGACGTGGAAAATGTTAGGAAGTAACAGTCAATATAATCATTGAAATAATCAACAAGCCTTTCTAATGTGGAGCCGCCCTAATAGGGATGGTAACACAGTTTTCATGGTTTGCTATTTAAATTATTTTTGCTTTCATAAAATATCTGATAAAGGAATTTGGACACTGAAGAGGAAAATGCTTTTGGAAATAAGTTATCTATTGATTTTTATTTTTTATTTTTTTTAAGAATAATCAATCTATAAGTGACAATGCTTTGAAAATGTATGAATGTATATTTTGGTTCTACGGTAATTCCGATTTGGGCCAGTCAGCTGGACTTAAAGGATGTCATTCACCGCTTTCCATCTGAATGAAGGTTTACACAAAGCCCGAGGGTAGCAACTGTTGGTACTATTAACCCCAGCTTATACCACCCTCCACACCTGTAGAGGGTGGTGTAAGCTGGTTTTATTCTGCTTTATTCATAACATTTTACCACATAAAGCCAAAATAGAGTAGTATCATGTTAATATTACATTTCTAATACAAAATAATCTTTCCTTTAGACATCCTTTAAATCTAACATGGACAAACTGGGAAAAGAACCCACTGCTGAAACCCCAAAGTTCTGGACTGAAACAATCTAATGGAAACACGGCTGTACAGGAGTCTGTTCAGGACAAAGGTATCCATTGTTTGTTTTTAACTTTAGATACTTTATTTAATGCATTTTTTTTATTTAGCACATCCTGTTATCTCTTCTTAAGCATTGGGTTGACATAAACTGTACCAAGAAGCTGTTTCTTTCTCTTAACGTTTCAGACACTAAAGAAAACCAAACAAAGGAAGTTAGAAGAACCATCAATGCTGAACGGAGAATCCATGCACTCACCATCAACATCCGCATGAAGGAAGACCTCATCAAAGAACTAGAGAAAACTGGTACTTTTACATATTTCTTAGTCCTGTATGCAGAAAATTATAATAATTAAGTCTAGGTTTGGAATAAAATCAGAATAGCACTGACCTAAATACACTGACAGGAAATAAACTGAACTGCATCACATTTTCATGTTTTTTTTTTTTAGTTCAGAGAATTTTGTCAGTATTATAACATGAAATGCCTGAAAACTCAACAAGATTGTTTCCCTTAAACAGCAAGGGAAACCCAAACAGTGGGAGCAGCGGAAGGGGACGTGTTGAAAAGACTGTCCATTCAGAGCCAGCAGATCCGAGCTGAGGTGTACCACAGCCTACAGAGCATGAGGCGGGAGAGAGCAAAGCTTCAGAGCAGCCTCAGGGAGCTGGGCGAGACTGTGGACAGCAACAAAAAACTCCAACAAAATAAGGTCAATGAGATGAGGTTTATAACATTTTTTAATCAGAATTTTTGGTGATTGTCCATTGATTAGGTGAGCCATTCCTGTACTGCATGAGCTTTCATGTACATTATGTTTTATAGTTTGATTTACTTACCATGGACCACAGTTGCACATAATTTAAATTTCCAAATTTCTTTATTTGTGCAGCCAACATTCAGTTTGAAATGATTATAATTTTTTGTTATTGATATGTTTTTTGGGTCTTGTGAACAGGGACAAAGTCCAAAGAGTTCAAATAACCCTAAAGGCTTTCACCAGGAAGCATCAGACAGAGTGGTAAAGTATTCAAACATTATTTGTCATTAACACAGTTATCTTGAGTTGTGGTTCAAGAAAAGTGTATCTTTTTCTTTTGTCATATTTCTCTCATTTCATCATGCATTGTAGCTGCTGGACACCAGCTGGCTTGAAAAAGAAGAAGAACAGGTCATTCAGCAGAGAGCAGAGCTGCAGGAGCTGGAAGAAGAGCTGGAGAGAAAAGAGGAGATCCTGCAGCACAGGGAGGAGATCCTGCAACTAAAAAACAGACTCCAGGTCAAGGTGCTGCAGTCCAGTCAGGTCAGCTACTGTTTGCTGCTGAATGCATTTCTAAACATGTGTTTCCAAAGCAAGATTTGGTACTAATTTTTAAAAAACGTATAGGCTTTGAGTCAAGACTTGCTGCACGTGTCTGTTGAACTGGAGTCTGTGGAAGAGCAGCTTAAGGGCAAGAGCAGTATAAGAAAGACCGAAGGAGTTACAATCAGGGAACTGGAAAAAGACAGGGACATGCTTAAGATGAAAAGGGATACTTTGGAAGCTCAACTGAGGGACAACAGGGTGCTCACCATGGAGGTAGGAAATTACATCTTACATTGTGTGTTAATATGTGCTCGATATGTCTGCCCAGTTATTATTTTTCTCTATGCTAAACATATAACTGTTTATTTGTTTGCTTTATGCTGGTCTTGCAGGAGGAGCATTCCCTTCTCCAGCTGCAGGAAGCTGTGGAGGCACTAGATGCAGTTCTTGAATTTAAAAGCAACTCCATCCAGGACCGGCAGAAGCACTTGTTAGTCAGAAACTCTCATCTGTATGAGTCCAAAGGCTCTGAACCTGCTCAACTCTGTGAAATTTCTAGGAAGCTGAAGGAACTCTCATTACCTGAGGCCACAGAGCTGTTGATGAAATATTTCAACAAGGCAAGAGGATGTTCATTACTTTTTTAAATATCGAATTATACGGATATGTAAAATGTGTAAGACATTAAGGTTTTCTGCAAGTTTTAGGCTAAAGATAGTAGTTAATTAACAGTGTCTTTGTTGAGTAACTGATATTTGGTGAGTTAAATATATAAATGCCTGCAGTATGTGAGGGGAATTTTCAAATTAGGTTGTATTAGTATTTAAATATTTTACTCAATTCAATAAAAAAAAAAACTGATCCCAAAAAATGCGATGTCCAAGGCCTTGGTGCTGTTAAAGGCGCTTCCCTTAGATCAGGTAAGAAAAAAAAGAACCACAATAGGTAAGAGGAGGGCAAAAAAAATCATATTTAACATTTTATATTTAGCAGGATACAATCTAAGATGGCAAAAAAACCTCAGCACAAAAAAGCAACCCAATGTCCTTGATAGTATGTAATTTAATGTTCATCAACCCCAGTGCTCAGAGAGCAGATTCACAGATGTCCTCAGGGAAGTGAGCAGGCAGAGGGAGCAGAGTGTCATGTTTACATAATATCCAAGAGGAGTTTAGAATATATAGCCTCCCAAGGCCGCACAGCGGAGCCAGATTTCATATAGATATATATGGGGTCATGCTGAATGTTGATTGAGAGGCTTGCTGTTGCCTCACAATGGTGAATCCAAATAAGTGCCCTGGGTAAATCTTTACCCAGGGCACCATCACAGAACATATTAATGTAAGAAATGTAAAAACTTAAGATATATCTTAATATGATGTAAGCCTTGTAATGAAAATGTTCTTGATTAGTCATTTTAAGTGAAGTTAAAACTTTTTGGGAAGATCCTGTTAATTCCTGCCCCTTCCTGTGAGATGACTGTGTTTCTTTGAGCTTTTAAATTTATATATAATGAAAATACATACTATTCCCTCATATTTTTTATTAACTGCAGGTAGTCTCTCTTCGAGAGGCAGAGCGCCATTTACGTTTGCAGTGCGAAGAGTTGGAGCTTCAAGCCGGAGAGCAGGAGGCAGCGATGAAGGAGATGGGGGCAGCCATGCAGCGTTTGGCCTTAGACACAGACCGCAGGCTTACCCAACAACACAGAGACCACCAAAACAACATTCAGCTGCTACTACAGAAACTTAAAGGTGAAGATTGTGATGAGCCGCCTCTTGATACTTTATGTGACATCTACTTTTTTATTGTTTTGTTTTTTTTTTTCTCCTGTGTATGTCTTTCTGTTTATCTAGAGGAGGCATCAAGAGAGGTACCACAATCAATACAAGACAGAATCCATCATCTGGAGAAAGAGCTGTTTTTCTACAAAAGCTCCAGTCGTCAGCTGAAAAAGAAGCTTAAAGAACTTCTCAATGATTCTCCTTACACTGACAATCAGTACCAACACAATCAAGAGAGCACACAGAGGCAGGACATTCTTACACCGTTGAGTGTGGAAAACCCTAAAGCAAACTGTGGTGAGGAGGGAAAGATGACACACATTTTATCCACATACACAAAAATCTCAACTGAGCAAGCAGAGGCAAAAGCACTTACATCATCACCTTCAGTCATCCAAGCATCCCCAAAGAGAAAAACCTCTGAACACAGTCATTCCCATGAAAGGAGTTCTAGAGGTCAGTCTGAGAAGAGTTTAGAGCTGACGCCTGTCAGATTGTGTCGCAGAGATTTAAGAGAGATTCCTTCTGCTGACCTGCAGCTCAGAAGTTCTGCCACTAAGTGGTGCCACTCCGACGCTAATTCAAGCTGTGAGTCTATGATGGAGGACTCAATAGAAGTGCCTAGAAAAATGTGATTCTGCTTTATTTTCCATTTAGAAAATGTTTGTTGCAGATTTGAAGAGGATAATATCAAAAGGTTCTGTTTATTTAGCCGATTGATCAAAAAAGCACTAGAAAATAGATATGTTTTTGGTAAGTTGTTGCAAATTTCTTTGTTAAATAATAAGAAGGTGTTTTACTGGTTGGGTTCATATGAAAGTTAAAGTTGTTATATTTTTCAAATTATTTATTTGCTCTTGTATTTGGGAGGCAAAATTATAAGCTCTTGTCCAAAATTTCTAAGTGCATTAAATTAAATCAACAATATAAAAGTCTGCACTTCTCAGATTTATACCTATCATCTTATTGTACTGTCTTTGTACAGTTGCTAATCTCATAGATCCATACAATTTTTTTTTGTTCCATTTTATTATATAAGTAGCTCTTTTCTTTTTGTAGGTGTAATATAAATGTATACATTGATGGTAATCATTAATTATTAAGTTAATAAAATCTGTATGAAACAAACTGTTTTATCTCTTGTGTGACTTCATCTCATTCCTCCCAGCATACATAGTACATAATAATAATAAAATGGGTCGATTTTTCTATCGTCAATGGCTAAAAAGAAAATGTACGGAAGACGATTAGGGCTACTGAAAAAATAAAAAAGTTAATCGATTCTTAAATATTATTTCAGTTTAATATGGGAAAAAAGTCAGAATTCTGACTTTAATCTCAGAATTCTGATTTTTTTTTCTCAGAATTCTGACTTTATTCTCAGAATTTTGACTTTTTTCTGAGAATTCTGGCTTTAATCTCAGAATTCTGACTTTTTTCTCAGAATTCTGACTTTTTTCTGTTAGGCTGTTACCATCGAGCTGTAGCCATGTCTGTTTTAGAGACTAGCTCTCTTGTTTTAATTACCTTCTGCTCCTCCATTAATGAAATAGCATCACCAGGAACCCCTCGGCATGTAAAACGTTGCATAATTTGGTCATTTTCCACCAATGTGTCACTGGCCCTCCCAGAAACTCTTTGTCAGTGAAGCTTCCTTCATGTAACCCATCTTCATTAAGATCCACAATTCTGAGATTCAAGTCAGAATTCTGAGAAAAAAGTCAGAATTCTGAGATTTAAAGTCAGAATTCTGATTTTTAAAGTCAAAATTCTGAGATTTAATGTCAGAATTCTGAGGTTAAGGTCAGAATTCTGACTTTTTTCTCATATTATCCTGAAATAAAATTTTAAAATGAGTTAACTTTTTTTTCTTCTTCTTCTTCTTTTCAGTGGCCCTTATCATCTTGCGTAAACATGTAACCAGAAGAGCCAGCAGTTAATGTAGATTCGCCCTGTTTGTCCTAACCGGGCTTCCGTACCGAGTGAGACAATCGCTGGTAGCACAACCAACTGCAGCTCAGTTCCCCTGAAGAATCAAACAGAACTACTTTAAACCAACTTCTCTTATCTCCGTTGTTTCTACAACACAGCTATGTGAGTGAAACACCAACAAAGGGCTAGCCCAAGTGTGGAAAGGTTTTTACCGAGTTTTTACACTTGTTAGTGCGCTAACAAAAACCTGCTAGCTCGGCTGTGTCGCTGCTGCTTTCCACCAGCAGATTGTTGTCCGCTAAGGCAGAGTTGAAGAAAATAACTGTAATTTTCAACACGGTATTTGCTTCAGTTGCAAATAAAACTATAGGTTATAAGGGCTGCCTGTCAGCTTACCAGAAATATAAACATTATACGTTCAGAGTTATTTTAATGAACCAATTATTGTGATTTTTTTTTAGTTTCCCGTTAAGAGATGACATCGTCTGCAATGATCACTGTCCCCACCACCGCCTCTCGGTTCGCCCTGCTCCAGATTGACTCGGATTCGGACTCCGACACCTCGGAGACAGGGAAGCCCAACACCAAAGCCGGTAGGGACTCTTCCTCCGGGAAGCCCAGGCAGAGGAAAGCAGGGGCGAGCACAGGATCAGGGGGGAAAGGAGCCCAGGGCAGCGACAAGAAGAAAGACAAGAAGAAGAAGAAGAAGGAGCAGCAGCAGAGTGAGGCAAATGAGGTGAGATAAGGAGGAGAAACATCTGCAGCTCATCCTCCTGCTTCTTGATCTGTTCTGAGCAGCTGCCTGGTTCCAACCCTGGTCCTTGTTTCATTTTACCATAAGTGAAACTATTCTGCCTCACTTAAAGATAAAAGTGCGTCATTGTCACAGCAAATGCTTATAATTGTTTTTTTTAGTTATGTTTATCAAATATTCAAATCACAATATCACTACTGATAGAGAACATACAACCACAGGGAATAAAATAAGGACGCGCAATTAAATATTTAGTTGTTTCTAAAGGAAAGCTCTCCTTAATCTTAAATGTTTTTATTTTTAGAAGGATGTGATTTATTTGCAGATAAACTCTGATAGCGAACAGCCTCACTGGATCAAACTAATTCTAACAGTACGACAAGGTGTCACACCCTAAGCCAGTCTTTGCACTATTGGCTGAATTAACCTGAATGAAATGCATTTTGTCATCATCTTTTTTCAGCATTCAGTCACTGCACAGCTTCCAATAAGATCCACATTTAATTTTAATCCACAGCGAGTCCTCAGGTGATTTGCTGGTATGTTTTGGTCATTGCTCTGTTATAGAGCCCAGTCCTGCATCAGATTTTCCTCAATCCTCCTTTAACACACTGAAAAATTGCTGGATTCTGTCATGAGGAATATATCCCAAAAACCATTACAACCTCTGTAGTTCACAGTTGGAATGCGGTTCCATTTCATGAAATGCTGTATTTTCAAACAAACAAAAAAACAAACAAAAAAAAAAATCATTTTCTTGTCTTTTGGTGTCCAAATAATTCAATTTGAACTTTTTTCTTGTCCTAAAAACATTATTCTAGATATTTCTTTTGGTTGATGGATCCAGAGTTTCCATCTTGATTCTACATGCATTTGCTTCCATATCCACTTCCATTGTGGCTAGAGTCTGCTTTAGGCCTCACAATTACATTCTAGGGATTTAAGAAGCTTCCTTTAACATTTTGTTTTTCACCTTTAGTGCACAATTCCTCAGACAGCCAGACCTGAGCCAGTTAGTTGTATTTTGGATATTGTACTTAATGTACCTTGGTTCTATGTACAGTGGAATGTCTGGTTGTGACCTCTTCAATTTCCTAAACTAACAAGAATTTTATTTTTTCACACTTGAGATGGATTTATCCTAGATTTGTTTTTAAATACATTATTTTAATTTTTAAGTATTAATAAAACAGACACCAAACATATACATGTCCAAATATGTTGGACTTCTGGAAATCACGGGGTGTCTGTATTTATTTTTTCTCAGTGCCAACAGTAAAAGCAGGAGTTCTGCTATTTCCATAGTTGCATTTCTAGATAAAGTCAAGTGTTGGGGAAAGAAGAGATGACGAACTAATCCAATTTTTTTAAAGATTTCTTTGCAGTTAATAAGTGAAACAAACGATGATCATGTTCCTAAGGTTCATAAGCTGCTCTAAACTTTGACAGTAAATCTGAAATGCACATTTATACACACATTATATAAGATATTCAGGTGCCCATGGTCAGGGTCATTCTAATGTTTCCATCCCCTTTTTTGTTTTATTGTGCTCAATTCCTCTTAATGTACCTTGCTTGTTCTATTTCCATTATTCGCAACATTTTGCTTTCAACTCATGAAATGTTTGGATATTTTTCTTCCCTCTTTTAGCTGCGCAATCTGGCCTTTAAGAAGATTCCTCAGAAGTCCTCTGCCCCTCCGCCTTCCATGACGCTGTCAGGAATAGCAAGTGAGCTCCTTAACCCGGCTTTAGGGGACCACAGTATACCTTCAGAGGGGTGGCAACAGTGGAAACAGAGAGACGAACAGGTTAGTGAAAATGTTCTAAAACTTTTTCCGAGGTCATTTGCCGATTATCTTCAGCAGTGAAAAATGGAATGCCTTTTAATTGTTTTAACAAAATTAAAACAATTGGGAATAAAGGATACTTGTCCTGGATATTTGCATCACAAAGAGCTAAGATTCTTTTTCAAAAAAATACTATTTACCTAACTCCCTTTTTCTTTTCTTTATAGATCACCACAGAGCTGTATGAGGCAGATTTGGAAAAGGCCTTGATTCTAAGTAAACTGGAATATGAACAACAGAAACAGGTTCATTCAGTACACACACACACTAATAAGGCTTTATGGCAAAAACAGAGGTGTAGATTTTCCAGATTAAAGATTTAGAGACATGTATAACTGCTATTTGAAAGCTAATATAATGATGCATGTGTGTTGTTGTTGTATTGAAGACTTAGTAGTGAAATGTTGATATGAAGGCAGTAGATTATCCAGAGGAAATCTCTCTGTTTGCCTAAATCCCACCTGCATTAAAATGTTGTCATCCCTTTTAATTATTATGCTTTTTCCTGGAAGTGCTACACACTTTTGTATCGAAACTACAAACTTCGTAAGTGGGGACACGTGACACTGAGTCACACAAAAATGTAGAGTAGAAGGAAAAGTTCTCATAGTTATCGATATTTATTCAAAAAGAAAAACCTTGAAGGAAAATCCAGCACAAAAAACCTGTCTTTGGAAGTTATCTGTCCCGTGAAGGCCACAGAGGTATGCTACATTAGTCAACACATGTCATGTTATTATTGGGTTGTAAAACACATTCCCAAACAGTAAACATCTCAGAGGGCTCTGTATTAGGCCATTGTCTGAAAGTGAAATCAGAACGGCACAACAGTTGGCCTTTAAAGATATGGACTTTCACATAAGGAGAGGAGCATTCATCAGAGGAACAGCCAAGAGTCCAATTATAACTGGAGCATCTACATTTACCCACTGCTCAGGTGGGAGAGCTTGTTGACACAAGGAAGAAGAAAAGAAGTAGACAATGGTGTTTGGCCAGAATAGAGCCACGAAGGACTGGTGCAGAGAGGACTGGGTAGCAATCGGTGACCTGATCCACGGACATTAAAACTGTCTCTGAGGATGTGGAATGTCACCTTGNGCCTTGATTCTAAGTAAACTGGAATATGAACAACAGAAACAGGTTCATTCAGTACACACACACACTAATAAGGCTTTATGGCAAAAACAGAGGTGAAGCAGTACCAGCTAGGAATAATTAGGGTCTCCTCTACTCTGGAGGGGTCTGCAGGTTCAGGTGGAGGGCTGCAGTTGGCCTGCCTGTCTCCCACCAACTCAGCTGTCTGTGTTGGAAAGGGTTGTATCTCTTTACCTTCACATGAAGGGGGGTGGGGGGGTCTCTCACTGTTAATTCGGCCCATTGGCCGATCGTTGATACAGAGAACCAGGTCTTCTTTGCATCCTTGGGGGTTGTTGGCTGAAGTCCCTCACAGGGGTTCCATCATTGTGCTGGAGGAATTCAATGCCCATGCAGGAAAAAACAGTGGCACCTCTGTGAGCTCAATCGGCTGGAACGAACCCCCAGCTCTGAACCCGAGAGGTGGCTTCTGTGCAAGTAACGGATTGTCTATAATGAACGCCATGTTCAGCCACAAGGGTGTCAATCGTTGCACTTGGCACTGGGACACCATAGGCTGGAGGTTGATGATCTATATTGTATCATCTGAGCACCAAATGCTTGTCTTGGACACTCGGGTGAAGAGAGAGGCAGAGCTGTCCACCTATCACCACCTGGTGGAGCTGGAAGAGGAGGAACTCAGCAGACCCAATCTAGTAGTGAGGGAACGTCTGGTGGAACCATCAGTCAGGGCCGTGTTCAACTCCCACCTGCAGGGGAGCTTTATGCGTCTACAGTATAAAACATGGTGGTTTATTAAAAAAACAAAAACCTTGATATGTAAAAACTGGTCATTTATATTCAGCTGAGTAAACTTTGTTGTTGTGATCAGTATTAAACACAAATTACTGATATAAATCCCTGAGGTACTAGTACTTTTCTTTCCCCACAGAGCAACACAAACTCTGCTTCGCCAAAGTCCAGAGGAGGAAAAGAGGGCGGTGGGAAGAAGGACAAGAAGAAAAACCAGCAGGCAAAAGATAAAAAGACAGTTTCTCTGCAGGACTTCCAGGCTGAAGGCACCACAGGTAGGAGAGACGGGTCCTGTGTTGAACTGCTTTGCTGTCAAACATGCAACTATCTTTTTTGTGCAACAAAAATATATTAACTCAAGAGATTTGTTTTTTTTCAAAGCTTTTAGATTTTTTTTTAATTTTTTTAATTCTATGTTTTGTTCTTTTGTTGCAGAGCATTTAAGTAGAAAACAAGAGGTAAGCAAAGGATCTGTTGTTTCTTGTATTTATCTTTGTATTTATCTATTTATCTGTCTATTATCACTAACAATGTCTGAACCACTAGTTCAATTTCAATCACATCTTTTAATCAGATGCTCTGATTATTAGGTCATACAGCATCCTAAAAGATTTAGTTTTTTCCCCAGATACCCACTTAAATCCCTGAGCCATCCTCTAAAGCAGGGGTAAAAAAATTAAACCAGTGAAGATCCGGAGACATTTTTAATTATAATCCATTGATTTAAACAGCTTTTAACATTGAAATAAAAAGCAGGTGTTTATGCATCCATGCTATACATTGACTTTTTAAATAAAAAATATATAAAAAAAGAACTTTTGTTCATTTTAAAATCTAAATTGTTTTTGAAGTAGAGAACAAAAATCTTCAGTTTGGTATATAAACAATTTCCTGACTCAGTTTTTTTTTCTTTCTTTTTTATGGCTTAATGAGAACAGTGGGCTTTACGCTGCCCTGCATCGCTTTTAAACCTGGGTTTGAAAGGCGTCAAAGTCATTCTCAAGCACATATCAAGGTGCTCATTTTGAGCCTGGATAGATATTTGTTTTTGATTATGTTCATGATGGAGAATCCTGCTCCACAGCTGCAGGTTGAGCCAAACATACTCAAAAGAGTCATCTTTGAGCTCGCCATTTCACTTTTCTTTTACCAGATCGCTGCTGTTCTTCCAGCAGTTCACACTTTCTCTGCTCTTTTTCTCATCGTCTTCTCCTTCTTTCCGATTGCCCGGCTTGCCACAGGTTTGCCTGCTCTGTCTAAAAGTGGCTAGCAGCAGCAGCCCAGACTGACACGGCTAATTTGTATCAGGTGCAGCCTGGTGCCGGACGCTCCGAAGGGCTTTACCATACAAACAAGAGAAGCGACGCAAATGACGTTTAGACACTGTTGTCGGACAACATGCAGTAATTTCTAAATGTTTTAAATCAGGTTGGGTCTGGATCCGGACCCTGGTCCGCTAATCCGTGACCTCTGCTCTAAAGGATCCATCCTGTCATTTTCTTAAAACCTGTTTTATTTTTGCAGGTTTTGTATTTAAAGCCTGAACACTGCAGACATATTTGAACTTAATACACAGTAAAGTATTTTTTAAATATGTTAAAAAAGTTTAAACAATAAAAGTATAAAATAAGGTAATACAATGTGAAATAAAAGCAATACAGAGTATGTATGAGGGTAAAATTAGGCCCGTTCATCAAAAACAAGGTAGGGTCTCTTTGTGAGATTACTGTTTATTTTAGTTATACACCATAATAAACTATTTCCTCCTGCATTGACCATGATTTTTTTCTTTTTACTCTTTCTGTGACTATCTGTTGGTTATATTTATTTATAACCAATCCCTTTAGTTTGGGTTTTCTTAAAACCATTAGGGGAATCTCGATGCAGTGCAGCGTTTCATGTCCATCACAACTTTCTTCTCAGCACAAATAAACAAACAGAAGCTTCTATTTCTTTATTTGGACCATTATGTTAAACGTTGCTTTATGATATATATTGATTACATTCAATGTTTAGGTCCTGGGTCATCACCCAGTACCTCCCAGGTGACCCTTATCTCTATCTAAACTTTTATTATAAAACAGAATTATCACTTGATTTGTTACCCAGGAAACCAGAGGGACAAATTTGGCTCCAGGAGTCGGACAGGAGGAACGCTTTTTCAACAAAGTGGAAGATGATGTGAGTCGGATTATCCAGAGGGAGAAGCGACTTGAACAGTATGTGAACAGCCCGGGACAAGAAGTCAACACATCCACAGAGCATGAACCTGTGAGTGCAGAGAATGGAACAAAACAAATGCTTTCTCTGATATTATGGTGTCCTTGAAATAAACCATGCATATTTATGTTCCACCTATTCAGTATTACACGAGTGAATGTTTATCTTCTTTTTCTTTCTTTTTTTCTAGGATCCTCGGGCAGAACAATTGAAATATGAGCTGGAGAAGAAGGACCAGGAGATTAAGAAGCTAAAAAAGACCATCTCGGAGTGGGAGGTTAGATGGAGAAACAGCTAACCCTAACAGCTATTTGTTTTTTGCTTCAGACATACTGTTACATGAAATTGTTTCTTAATCTATAATGTTTTTATGCGTTTTTATTTTTGTGTTGAATGTGGATGTAATTTGAAACAATATAGGGCTTAGTTTCCAATCGGATTGAAAGTGTTTAAATATCTGAGACACCTTATGCACAATTATGTTGTTTTGCCTCTAAAGTTTAAAGTCATCACAAACCAAGTATTTCCTTCTTAACATTGCAGGTGAAATACAAAGAGGTGAAAGCAAGAAATGCCCAGCTCCTTAAGATGCTCCAACAGGGGGAGAGTGAGTTTATCAGCGCAGCCAGATGCATATTTCTCTTCTTCCTTCTCCTGTCTCCTGTTTTATTATCTGCTCCTTGTGGTTTTTGCAGTGAAAGACAAAGCAGAAATTCTTCTGCAGGTAGAAGAACTGCTTCACATCAAAGAAGAACTGTCATCACAGGTTTGCTCTGCAGATAAATGTTGCTCCGTTGAACAGCTGTACTTTTCTGTGGATGTAAATAATCGTACGCTTCTACTCAGGTAACATTATTACATGCTGCTCTTGAACAAGAACGATCGAAAGTGAAAGGGCTCCAGTCAGAGCAACCAAAACATCAAGTGAGTGCACAAATAATCATATTCTATCATATCATATGTGAAATGACGTCTTCTTTCATTCTAAAGTCATGTTATTTTGTTTTGCAGGGCAACAGGAAAGGAAAGAAAGGCTCAGAGGTGGACCAATGAAGATTCCTGAGGGAAGAACAACTGTCTGGAGGGGGAAAAGAATGAACAAAAATATTTGACTAGTTATAAAACACCACTAATCATTAAGTTCTCTTTATTTCATGTTTTTATTTTCCTCTAATTTGGGTTCTAATTATTTTTAGTTAGACAGTATGTAAACATGCATGTCCTATTAAATACATAGAATATCATCCAGACATGGCATGCTCTATTGAACAACCAAGCTATTGGTTGTATTTATTTACAGCTTTTTAAATGAAAGGAGTTTAAAGTCTGTTCAGAAACTGCTCCACAGAGCAGCAGTATCTCCAACACTCCTAAAGCTGTGTGCCTCTTTCTCTCTCCAAGGGTTCTAATGCCAAATTGACAGATTGAAATGTATGGTTGTTTCTTTTCCTTGCACACTGTGAAGTAAATAAAATACTTTTTCAGTGATTGAATTGTTGTTACTGGACTATGTTTCATGGTAGGAGAAGCGTTTATATCCATTCATTGCAGGGTGAAGATGGGGTGATGAAATGTGAGCATTAATCAGCTCCAATAGTCAAATAGGGGAGTTAAATTGAGAAGTTCAAAGATTTCAGCAGTATGAACATTAAATACAGGTGAACCAATCATGCATGCTGGTGGCTGCATTTCTTTTCCCTCTGGATGTGAAAACTGGCTTCACTGTTCTGGGTCCAACTGCCATATCCTCAGTTACTAACCTCTTACACCCTAAGGGGGTATAAATAAATTTCTGCCTGACAAAAACACACAAAAGTAAATAACTTATAGCCTCAAAGCGATTAGATTTAAGAAGAAACTTTTGGTAAGTCTGTAAAGGTAAGATGTCATAGAATGGTTTTCTGGTGTCAGCACCATTGTAGCTTTGACCCTGCCTGAAATATTAGGGACAAAATACAAAATATTTTGCATTTTTTGAACCTCGCCAAAATTTTCTTTGAAATAAACATTGCAAAACACTACCAAAATATTATTTATAGCACAAAAAAGTAGTACAGACTTTCAAATCTAAATGTTGTGTAAAAATATACCAAATTTGGACTCAATCAGATGAATCATATTTATTTTAGAATGGTATTCGTGAGAAATTTCTTAGGCGGAGGGGCCATTTTGGCACATTTATCCATAAATGTCACCAAACTGTGCCAAATATGTTTTTTACATCAATACTGGGGGTTTGGTAAAATTACGAGGTCACGTAGCAGCTGGACCCGCCGGTGGGTCCGTAGGGTTCAAGGGGCTAAGCAGGCTTCTGTCTACTGTGAAACGTGTCCAACATAGTATGATTGCATTTGGTCCACATGCCACAAAGAAAGATGGCTCCTGACCCTGCTGAGATGAGCAGCTAAAATGACTCAGGAGTTTGTTTTTTTTGTTGATGTTTTTGTTCAGTTAAATTATTGCATGGCTTTACTAAGATCAGGCTAATATTTAGAGCCTCTGCTAAAACAGTTAAGTCTTTGTGTGGAACTCTGCCTGGATCTGGGAAACCTAAGGGTCTTTCTTTTATTTTACGACAGCAAAGATGGAGAGAAAATGGATAGTAGCAATTAAAGATCAAAATAAGGTTAAGACTTGTATCTTATCAAATCTATTACACACTCATTTAATGGGGGTTTAGGCATTCAAGGAATAAAATACTGATATATTTTTACTTTATATGCAGAAGATCCTGTTGAACTTAGAGGTCATTGATTGGTCAGAAATGTCCAGGCTTTCTTACTAATTCCAGCTTTCTTTTTTTTTTATTTTTAATTTTTATTTTTTGCAGTTTTAATGGTGACGTAGATGGTACAAATATACATCAATCCAGAAATCACAGGCTGGGATTTCAGAAATCAAAAATTAGAGATGCTCAGGAGAAACATATAAGAAGAAATGAGGAGAATCTAGCACTGAGGGACTGCAGAGGAGGAGTATAAATGGGAGACAGAACAAGGAAGTTGAGTAATCAGTTAATTGGGAGTATGTGTCGACAGAAGCCTTCAGAAAGGAGCTAAAGTGCAAGGAAAGAAAGGAAAAGGGCACCGGGGGGCAACAAAGAGTAACCAGGAAAACCATGGCTTAACTGTAACTAGAAAATAACTTAAATACATCTAAAGGGGAATAAAACTAATAACTACAAAATAAGGAATAATCAATGGGAAAACTAGAGGATAAGAAAAGGGACTGGAGATAACTGAAGCCATAGAAAACAACCTAAGGACAAGAGAAAGAATTACTAACTAAAACTAGACAAAGGAATAAATAATAGCAAAAATGCTGAAAAGATGTAACAAGAGAGACTAAAACTAAGAATTCAAAAATGATATAAAGCTTGAAAATACAGAAAATAAAACAAACGATAACTGAGAACCCAAAATGAAAGCTCACACGGAACAATGTCTTTCTGAGGAAAAATATTCTCATAAATTGGGATTTATGTGAAATCAAAATATATGGTTTCCAAAAAATCTTGCCCTTACATATTTGTTTTAACATAATTTGTTTGCTAATAAATCATATGACAGTTAAATGTATGATTCAATTATTTAAGAGCTGGTTACAAAAACTTTACAAACCATTTACAAATAGGTACCAAGTTAGTTTTGTAAGACAAAAGATAACTAAATATTATGATAAACAAAAATTCTGCTTTCCTTTTTAACAATGTATTGGTTAAATAAAAATAAAACTTAGAAAAACAAATACCAGTTGACAATATCAGAAAAATAAAACAAAGAAATATCTTTAGCTCAAAATTTCCCATGGGATTACTGGAATTATTCCTGGCAAAATATTTATATCCCTTCAACTTTTAACATTTTCTCAGTCTGCAACCACAAGCACCAATGCTTTTAACTATATAGACCAACAGAAATTATATTATTTACCCAAATTAAACACAAAATGAAATTGTGCATTCATGAAAGGAAGTTCAAAATGATGAAATCTAAGATATTGATAGTTTTCTCATTCTTTTTTTTTTTTATTTTATTATTTATTTTTTTTACAGTGTCCTGTCTGACAATGTGGCATTGCAGCTTTCACAGAAAAACCCAGAAATGTTTTCTATCAATGTAGACTTAAAGAAAACACACAAAAAATAGAGTTTTCTTGAGTGACATCTGAGGTAAACAAAATTATATTCTCTGTTTTTACAAAAATAATAAGAGTACTGGGATGTATTCAAATAATCATCTGGTTAATTTTTTAAGAGATTTTTCATCACAATTTTTTTGCAATAAGAGTTGGAAAAATGAAACTGCTAACACCTCTTTAATATGGGCTGCTAGGATTCGTGAGAAAGGATGTGGATGGGCTGTACCCTGACTGCGCAGCTCCTACAGCCTCACATGTCCTCAACTTTATGCAGAGTCATCCAGATACAAGCACACTCACTCCTCCACTACAGCTGCTCCAGGTCCACATCCTTCTACCCTCACCTACAAAGATGTCAACAACAAGGAAAGACAAACGGGAAAGCACTGATGAGCCTCACAGGTCTGAAACAACCCAGGTTGTTTTAAGAAGAGTCCCAGAGAGCAGAGTGTTCACCTTCAGAGGAGACTGCACTGTCAAACAGGTCAGTAGGCTGAGTGGGTTTCCTCACATCTATTCTCTGACAGTGTTTTACTGAGATGCCATATAGCTGCTGAGGTGTGTGTGTTTTTCTGTGTGTGAATAGCTGAAGCTGTGTCTGTCTGAGCAGCTGCGGGTCCCAGCAGAGCAGCTGGTGCTGACCCACTCTGGATGGGTCCTTAGGGAGTCAGAACTGATGAGTCACTTAAAAGGACAGAGAGGATCTGTCAGTCTCTGCACAATCAGACGGTACAGACCACAGAGTGGGCACTCCATGGTGATGATTAACGTATGAATAGTAATTAAAGTTATTGGATTGCAAATGTATAGATAAAAACGGGTCAAAGGCTAGGATGTTTCCTATGGAGGACCAGGAGAGTCACAATAAAACGCAAAATGAGACAAAGCATCAAACCATCAAACCATCATACTAATTGTTACATTTATGCCATTTAAAATCTCACAGTCATTCAGATGTTTTTGTTATTTTAATAACGAATTAAATTTAGCAATAAAACCCTTTCATTTTCCTGAATATAACAGGGGCAAGTGGAAGTATGGCTATTGGTAGATATTGACAGAGCATAACATCTTATTCCCTATGACTTGGATCTCTGTATACTTAAGCAAATAAATGACAAAAAAAAATCAGGTAGCATTAAATTATCCAAAGGCATGCATACATATGTATTGCATATTCCTGGACATAGAGGAATTAGCCATGAGAAGGCAAATCTTTCATCTGTAGAAATAAAGAACAACAAAATTAAATAAATATCAATACTATTCAGCAACATATTAGCATCTTAAAACAAGCTAAAAAATCAGTCCTATACAGTGCAGTATATTAATATACAAAACAGATCTTAAAACTCCATACTGAAAATTGATTATACAGGAACCGTCATTTTAAGTTATTGGAGAATGATTTACGGAAAAAAGTTCTTCTTATGTTTCCTGCAATCTTATTCCAGCCATGAGAGTCTCTCCCATAAAGCCTGCTTTCCATTTCTAAAAAAAATCTTTATGAACCCTGAATATTTTCAACAAATACTGGGGCCCATAGGACACATTTTCCACCTTCTGATAGAGTTCATAGACTCTTACACTGATTTTTGACACCAGAGATATTTACTGTGTAGATAAAGTGATACAAATGATGGTTTTCAAACAATTGGGACATTTACGTTTTTCCATACGAAACCTTACTTGGTGTTGTCTATTTAAATATTTAGAAATCTGGAACATATCCAAACTCATACAAAATAGATGCATTTTGAATCAAGCAGGGACATCACTGAATTAATGATTCCAGGAATTCATCAGGAAAGGATCCTAAAACATGTCACTCCGATTATGAAGATGGATGAGCTATTTCTTTGTCTGATTCAGAGAAAAATATAAAAACTCTGTACTCAATGCAATGCATGATGCAGCATGTTTTAAACACAGGTTTTAAGCTAAGTTGTTCTCTGTCAGGCCTGAGTCTTCACCCCCTCAGACTGGTGATCCACCTTCAGAATCTGTCCAGTCAGAGGTGACAGCCGTTCCTGACCCTGATCCCATCCAAACACCAACTCCCTGTGCTCTGGGTTTCCTGGGTAAAAACATTAATTAGCTCCTTTCCTACTCTCTAGAGTTTTAAGTCTATTTTAAAGCCTTTTCTTTCCTTTTTTCTCAATTTTTGGTAGAGGGTCTGGGCAGTGCTGGTTTGGAAAACAGTAGATCGAGTTTCTGTACTGCATCCCAGAGCCAAATGGAGGAACAGTCACTGAGTGAACCAGAGATGGTGCAGAACCCCCACTGCTCCTCCAGCCCTGAATTGACAAACGAGGTCAATCTGTGTAATCCACAGTTTCAGCAGGTCCTGAAAACACACCCTGAGGTGGAGGACATGTTGAACAACACAGGTGTTATAATGCAGGTGGGTGAGTGCTTTTGTTTTGAATTTGTGTGAGTGATTGTTATTTTCCACATTTAAACTTTTTTTTGTTAGTGTCCGGGGGAAGACGTTGTGGAAACTGCAGGCAGAGCTTTAGAAAATGTGGTGCAGGGCAATGATGAAAACACTGCTGATCCGGATGTCCTTCAAACAGTAGATGCAAATTGGCAGATATCCCAGGTAAAAACCAAATAGGTAATGATGTTTAGACAGTTTATCTATCCTTTGAGAGGTCTGCTTCTTGTGCCTCTTTTAGAAAGCAACGTTTCCACTGGTAATTACATCATTCGGAAGTCCTCAGGGACCAGAGGGAAACACCAGTTCTGCATCACCTCTCTCCAGTGACTCCAGAGACCCCCTTAAAGAAATGACTGATACGCCCAGCTCAAACATTCAGGGTACTTTTACTGCAGGTAAAAAAAAAAAAAAACATATGCATAAAAATCATGCATTTAATATAAGCAAGTTTGTATGATTCATTAGAAGCACATTAATGTAGTTTTTAATCCCACTTCAAACCTTCCTTCTCCTTCAGGTATTCAGTCGCTTCTGAAGGAGATCACGTCCAGCCCAGGTCTGATGGAGACTCTGCTGTCTGGACCGTACATCAGCAGTCTATTGGATTGCCTGAGCCAGAACCCTGACGTCACTGCACAGGTGATGCAGCCTCAAATTGCAAGTAAACCCTCTGAGATAAGGTCTGGATATATTCTTAGACTTAGACAGCTTTTATTGTCATTTTGTATACACAGAGTGTACACAAAATGAAATTTCATTTTGT